TGGCTTTAAGATGTTAAAACAGATTTGTGGCTCGGAGTCATGTTGAAATATTCTACATTCTCTAATTTTAAATGCACAGGGAGTTCAAATACCAATCCTTTTTTTACTGTATAATGCCAGCCTTATAATGTATACCTTTTTTGTTTTAAAGGTGCATCGTGCAACTTTTCTGGTGGAGGGTATGCTACCTGTCTGTCTCCATGGAGATTTTTTTGCTTTGCCTGAAATGTTTCATGGCATGACTTTAAACATTTCCATCTAGCAGTTGTTCATTATGGATGTTTCTGTTGCTCAAAAATACAATTATTCACTCTGTGAATGGGGCGACTCTCCACAGATCTGAGTTCTAATGTAGCATAGTGCTGTAACCTGCTTGTCGTCCTCATGATGGATAGGTTTAATCTGTACTGTGTGAAACATTCTAGACAAAGCAATAACATTTCCATGAAGACAAAGAGGTGACGGACCCTCCACTAGGAATGTTACACAGTGCACCTTTTTAATGTGCTATAAAATGAAAAATCCTTTAATAGAAACAACACGACACAAGTTTTCCAGTCTCTAAATATTACTCAGTTGGCTATTATGTTTTTTACTAGGTACTTTTTTGCAATAAAAACATAAAAAAACACACTAGTTAGCGCTGTCTCTAGGCTACTTGTGTTTTATCTCACATTTTGTCCAATTAGCCATGAATACTTCAAGTTATTTCATGTAAACATGAAATGCACAGCTGAACCCAGTGACCCCTGAAACAAAGATGGTGCTGGTGCATATGTGTCCATCACTGTTATTAGACCCAATGAAACTCCCCGTGGTACAGCAGCAGAGGGACCCTATAGTAAAAGCAGTACTAGTGGGGTGAACGAAGGACACTGCACCAGCCTGTAGCCGTCATGAGCTCAACTGATGGACAGATCTGAGGAGCCAAACAAGCATCTTCTACTGCATCTGGCTTTAGTTGTCCTCCAGGGAACATCCACATCCATAGACCCTCTAAGGGACATTCACACGAGGGCCATCCCAGCCTCGTGCACGCGCACTGGGGCTGCTTGGAGACAGCGTGTGCCCGCCTCTGGTTAAATAAAGCTAAGAGGGGTGTTGACATATCTCCCCAGGACAGATACAGATCAATAGCCTCTCTGAAGGGGTGCTCCACTTGACAACCGTGTGATTGACAGTCGATGCGGCAATGAGGCGGGATGTCTTGATTTATTTAACCGCTCCTCATCGCCCCGAGTTACGAACAACAGTTAAACTAAGTGCGCTGCCGTGGCATCTACAGTGGATACGCTTTTGAAGAATTGCGCTCTAAGATTCAAAGGAGAACAGTTTAGATTACATGTCAAGATTAGTTGAATGTAAAATGTAAGAGAAATTGACTAGCCTTCGTTCTGAATCTACAGAGTAAAATTCAAAGATCTATTTAACTTCTAACTGAAACCGTATAAGTGGATTATTTTTAAAGATTTCTTTTTGTCTCAGCTTCTATATAAAGTTACAGCACCAATCTGAACACTTAATTAGCCTTTCATTGTTCAGTGTTCTGGCATCTCATCAAGTCATCTTTTATAATTGACTAGTCTGTTTACTCCACTAAGAATCATTTGGATAATTCAGTCCCTGAACTAAAGATAAAATGTAGCTGTTAACTTGAAAACTTCTTCTCCATGACATCACAAGGTGGAACAGATCTTGGAGCTTGGAGATGAAGACAGACTAACGATAAAGGATTACTCAAACGTGTGAATGAAACAAAACACAACTCCAGGTATGTTTTTGACAAGGCATTATAACATGACATAAAGCTCACGAGTCCATTTTGCATGATATAGGACTTTTAATTTCCCTTAAGATTTGATCCAATGTTGGTGTAATCCAGGCTACTTTTGTTAAGTAGCATAAACTTGTTAAAAAGTCAAATTTGAGTTGTTGCTACATCAAAATGAGTAGTTTCTTTTGTGAGAACTGTGTTGATTCCCCGGTGAGCGCTCTGTCAGTGCGACCATCTGTTTGGTGGCTCTATCCAAACTGCGCTGCCAGATGGGAGAGGAAACAAAAGTAATGTATCCCCCAAACAGTGACAAATACAAGTTTATTTCACTGTAACAACTATGTACACAGCCCCGCCAGCGTGTTATGAATTATTCTGCAGGTGTAGATCTGCGAACAGGGAAGAATCGCTCTATGAAAAATCACCTTGTTTGTGACATGGCCGCCATTGATGTAATTTGTAACTCTATAATTTACATTTCTCTCTAAATAAAAGTAGAAGAAATGTTAAATGAGGTAACAATTCATTCTAGTTTTATACTGAAAACATCAACCTGCCGACAGGGAGTACAAGTGGGAATTGGCATGTTTTGCTATAACCTGAATACAAGGCATCTTTCAGTGTAAGATGGTACAGTGTACTTTTGACTTGTTTTTGTAAAATATTAATAAAACAAATAATAAAAATTCCATATCATATACAACTTATATGACATTTCATTAGTTTTTTCAAAACTATTACAATACTGATATACATTTCTTACACAATCTCTAGGGCTCTAGCGCAATTCAATATTAACTTAAGGTTTAAAAAAAACAAAAAAAAAAACATAAACAACTCAAACAAAAATGTCTCTCTTCACACTCTCTCAGTTTTGGAATTTCCTTTTTTTTTTTAAGAAACATTTTCAGTGGTGACAGTACAATAAATGAGCATACTATTCTGCTGCTTTTGTTTTGAAATATGGTCATACTAATCGCTAAGACAGCTTGTACCTTTGTTTCTACGCCAGCTTTTACTTTGAAAGTCAGAGAATAATAAAGCAGTTTCCTTTAGCTACTTTGATACTAATTACTATGACAGCTCGTACCTTTGTTTCTATGCCAGCTTTTATTTTGAAAGTCAGAGAGAATAATGAAGCAGTTTCCTGTCTCTTTGTTTGCCTGCAGCTCGGAGCAGCTGTCAGGTGGGACTCATCATGGGACAGGTGTTGTTTGCTCCTCTTCAAGGTCACTTTGTGCATTGAAGATGCGACTTAAACTAAAGAATAACATCTGCAGCCATAAACACTCATAATCGTACCTTTTTAGTGCCTTGTTTGCTGTTTGTTCACTAATTAGGAATGATATAATGTCCACCAAATAGGTGAATAACACAGAGCTAGTTTTCATTGTGGCTCCTGTTACCAAGTGGGATTTAAATGAGCCTTTTGGACTCAAAGTTTATGTGGTAAAAGCAAATACACATTTTCAATGTCAAATTTTCAGTAGAGCCAAGTTTGTTAATACATTGACTTTAATAATGTAATATTTATATATTGGATTGTTTTACCTATCAGTACAACTTTGTTAGGCACATTTTGGCTATCTACAAAATTTTAAGGGAGTTTGAAAAAAGGGAAATTGTGATGGAATTTGGGTTGGTCCATACATCTTCAAAACTAAAGCTCTTATGGGGTATTCCAGGTCAGCAGTGATCAGTATCTGAGTCAATAGAGCACATGTTATTATTAGAGAATACTGGGAGTTGTGTTTGAGAAGCAGCTGCTGATTGATGGACTGCGAGATAAAAGGATGAAAAGGTCCAAGGCACTCTGTATTAATGCAACTTTTCTGTTTTAGATACACTACTCCATGTTAGTACTTGGGCTGGGTTAGGGTTGCCAGGAATATTCCAAGGTATGAAATTAAACTTGTCTATCAGATACTTATTAAATTGCATGTTCTTTTTTTGCTCAAAAATACATTGAAAACATGCATTCTAGTTTGAGGGTGGGCTTGCCTCTCCATAGATCTAACCCGAAACTTGGCCAGTTGGCATTACCTGCTTGTCTCCATGGAGATGGAAAAGTGACTACAGAACATTCAGCCAAAGTATTTTTATCATGAAGATGGACCCTCCACCAGAAAAGTTACTCAATGCACCTTTAATGTTGCTTTATTTACGCTGGCATAAAGTTGACCAAATTATTCGTTAGTAGTTGGGATTTATATGAACCACAGTAGAAAAAAGACATTTAATGAGTTAGTCTGAGATTTGAGAATATTTTTTCCTGCCTTTTTACACACAAATATGCAATTTACTAGTATTCTTCTTCTCTGAATCTCATTTAAGAAAAATATGGTAACTGGGACGTCTTGATTAAGAATACCAAGTGATTTTTTTTTTTCCACCTGTCACACCTGTAATTTAATAAATGCAAGATGGATAAGTTAATACTGGAACATTCAAGGAAAAGCAATAACATTTCCTTGGAGACAAACAGGTGAGGAAAAGAGACACGATGCACCTCTTGTCCCCACAGCTATCAGAGCTATCAGACTTTATAACCCCCACTAGTCACTCTAGAATACTTTAATATTGCACTGTCTTTTAATTATGCATAGATTTTGTGTTTGGGGGATTAATATTAAAGTAAAAGTTTTTTCTTTTCTTTAAAAAAAAAATCGGTCTATAAAGGTCATTTTTGACTCTCGGAGTTTTAAGTCATGTTTTAATGCTGTTACCTTGTTTTGTTTCAGTCACATCCTGCATCATTAGTCTGTCTACATCTCCAAAGCTCAAAACGCTCTGTTCCACCTTGTGATATCATGAAAGGGTAGTTTTCAAGTTAACAGCTACCTTTTACCTTTTGTTCAGTAGAAACTGGCAATTCCAGGACTGAAATATCAAAATTTTTCTATTGAAGGTGTGTAGAGTTGGAACAGAGTGTTTTCTTTTTTAACCAAATTATGCAGGATTTGTTATGAGTGTGAATGAAACAAAATACAACTCTGGGTATGTTTGATGAGGAAACAGCATTATATCTGAGATCTGAGAGTAGTGTAATATGGGAGGTCTGTCTTTTATTTTGTGGTGAACTGTATAAATGAGCAACATGGGCACCTTAATTTTTTTCTTTTTAGTAGATTAATATTAAAGCAAAAGGTTTTTTTTCTATCTTTAACCAGATTGAGATCTTTGTTTATATGTTGATAAATCATATATTCTATTCTACTCTACATAGGTCTCTGGTGATCATCAGTACTCTGGATGGGCGGATCTCAGCTTTGGACCCGCATAACCAGGGCAGGAAGCAGTGGGACCTGGACGTGGGTTCGGGCTGCCTGGTCTCCTCCAGCCTCAGCAAACCAGAGGTCAGAGGTCACCACGGAGACAGCACATACACATAGACACTGCAGTGTATACATAGAGTTTAAAAAGGACAGGGTGCATGGACAGAGACTACAGTGTCCTCTACAGGTTAGATCTGGCTCAAGGTTACATTAATCACATTAGAAGCTGTGGTATTTACTATGAAACATGCACTCAGCTGCCAACAAGACTACAAGTGACCTGGAGCCAGAAATTAAAATGTTACATAAATTCAGTTTGGAAGGATTTAATGTTTGTTTTTTATGAGTGAATTTCTATAAATTTGTTGTTACATTACAGTGACAGTAAGTCTTCTTTTATATATATTTTTCAAGTTCAGTTTTTCAATTGCAATTCTGACAAAAGATCTAAACATTGGATTTTCCTGTACATATTTCAATGCATAATTCACCATATCAGTATGGTTTTATATGTTTTGAGACACAGAAATAAGAACAAAATAAACATGCCCCAAATTTGAACTAATCTCTAACCCTAAACCTAACCTAATCCAGCCTATCCTAACCTAACCCTAGTGCTTTGCTTTAAATACATCAAAAGCATTTAAAAGCAACAGTTTGAGGAAAAAAAACCCAAAAAACTTTCTCATGTCTTGTTGGGAACTTCATAGAAAACAAATGTATACATGAATTAATAATTTAAATTGAGTTGTGGATTGCAACAACTATACCTGAATATAATTATGGTCTATTTTGGTGAATTGACAGTAGATAAGGGCATGTTTTCTAAATCTTTGTAAAAACCTGTTCTGTTTTGACAGTTCTGAAGGTAAAATGAAGTGTCAGACTCATACGCTGTCACTCATAAGAAGAGTACTTTCACTGTTTGGCAGTAAATCAAACCTTATATTTTCTCCTTTTAACCACAATTCACCAAAGATCTGCCTTGAACCTGTCCAAAAACCAGCTCTAGCTCACCTCATTATCATCATGTTATAGTTGATGTAAAGTCAGCTTCCACTGGTTTGATAACAGAAAATACTCACATGCTTTTATGTTCAGATACAAAGTGATTTCCCTCAGAAGACGGAGCGCCCATAATTGAACTCACTGCACTTTTAACAGTCTCGCCTCTCGCTGTTGTTGCTTACATTCAATCCATGTAAACAAATACACAAACACACAACCGTCAGGCTCTCCTCCCCCTCCCAAAACCCTGAAATTGTGCTTTTCGCCTCAAGGATCATCTCCCACTTTGTTGACTGTGGCGCTTTTTACACACACAGCGCAGCAAGACCCCCTTATCTGAACATGGATACATACAACCGTACAGAGGCTTAAACCGCCCACCAAGTCAGTGTGAATAGTGCTAGTACCCCTGAGCTGTACTAGGGGGGGTACTGCGGCCTGTGGAGGGGTTTTGATCTGGTCTTGTGTGTGGAGTTTATAGCCTCGGGGAGAACGCCAATGAAACTAACAAGGTCTAGAGTAGTCCGTGGGTCCAGTGCTGTGGTTACACTAATGAATTCTCTGTAATCCACTTTGGTTATAATGATGACCCCTACAATAAAGTCCAAGCGAGAGACTGGCTTTAAATAATGAATGGGGAGGGTGGTAATTTCTAGAGCAACATTTTATTGTATTAGCAAGCAGTTTTTGATTCACACAGGGGTCCAATTTATTTTTAATAGATATGATGATGATGAGAAAAGATAGAATATTTGAAGTTAGTTACGATTTTGGCTAATTATTCTTTTTAAATTGGCTTTTAGTTTTTCAGTTTTTAGCCAATAGATAGATATACTTCGAATGACCCCAAGTCAATATAAGAATTAAACGATCATTTGACATAATTAATTAAAATTTAATTATTGTATATTGTCCCCACTTTGCATTATGGTAATATGATAAAATTAATATAATAATTAAATTTAATTGTATAGAGTCCAAATTTCAAATTCTACATGTTGCAAAGGTTAGTTCTTTTTTTTTTTTTACTGCCTTTTCCACTCAGGTCTGCTACAACACTTGAGACAGACTTTGATTCACGACCTAAACTGATCGATATGGCTCCAGATCAATAAGAGAAATAAATGATCATTTGGCATCATTTACTGTTAATTAATTTTGCCCTCATAGATCACTTCAAGGTTAATGAATCACTTATAATGACATTTGAAAGCTTTGTTTCGAGTATCGTTTTAAATCTTTCATGATCACTATTGAAAAACCCAGATATTTTGGAAAATTTTCTCTGTAAATAAAACCAAAATGAATTGGATATGCTGTTGTTTTAGAAACATCTTAACTTTTAAAGGTCCACTGTCTAGAATGTTCCACAGTATAGATTAAACCATCTGTCTCAAGGGAGACAAGCAGTTTACAGCACTACTCAACATTACAATTCAGATCTGTGTTGTTGCTATTCGCAGAAAGAAATATTGTATTTTTGAGCAATAGAAACACCCATAATAAATAAATGTTTAATGTCATACCATAGAACATTCCGGACAAAGCAATAACATCTCCATGAAGACAAGTAGGTAGTGGACCCTCCACCAGAAAAAGTACAGTACAGAGTACAGTTTTAATACATGTTACCATTTGCATTAGTATTAGTTCAATTGAATATGAGTAAAGACTCATTAACTTTGCTGTGTCCTTTATTGACAACTTGGATTATATAGAAAGCAGTTGCTGGGTAAAACTTTGCGTCTTTTTCGTCACTTCCTTATTCAAACAAATTAAGTTAATTACAGTGGCGTCACATGAGATTTCAGAAGCTAATCAATAGCCCACATTAGAGCAACAGCCCCAGACACATGCTTTATTGCTTGGAGGGGCAATATAAGACAAGACAACATGAGTCTGGGGAGAACAACAAATGTAATCAAACTAAGAACTTGTTTTTTAGTTTGAAAAAAGTTCAAAGTATTCTGCTCTATCGCAAATCTATGAATGAGGGCTGAACGGATTGGGGGGAAAATAATACTGGATTCTGTTCAAAGTTCCCACTTTAATCACAGCCAGAAGCATTGAGTAAAAGACTGAAATATGAACTGACAAACAAAAATACAAGAATCACATTTCAGAATATGGCTGCACAGATCTAAACTAGAGTTAGCAGTTTTTACACAGGATTTTTTGTTGTTTGTGGAGGAAAAATTGTGATTTCGATTATGATTAAAACAAAAAAAATAAGTTGCAAAAACAAGAAGAGACTGGTGTCAAATAAAGCATAATTATATAAATGTTTATGTACAAGTAAAAAAAAAAAAGAAATATAGTAAAAAAAAAAAAGATAAGAGCCAAGTGGAGTATTCGCTTATTAAAGTAGAGTCTGGCGTACGAGGGTGTAAGCCTGTGGGAGTGTGGGAACAGTCATGTGCGTTCATAAAATCAAAATTCATGAAGCACTTTTTATTCAGCGTCTGCCGAGGTTATAATATGGAGCAGCCTAAAGGTTGCTCCCAGCACAGACTGCAGTCGGCATTAACATGTAAATTTGACATTGAAATCAAGACATTCGCTTTTTGGGAGAGCGGTGTTGTGGGATTTTCAATAATTTTGGCTTTTTTAAATCCTTCAAAGTCGAGCTGTATGATTCATAGCTATCGAATGAAAATGCAGTTTGAATGGATAAAATAAGCAAATCACAAGGATCGTTATTTCCTCTCCAAACCATAAAATATCCAGTCTTCTTGTACGTATAAAAACTGCTAACCCTGTAGTTTAGCTCTGCACTCATTCATTCATGCTCTGAAATGTGATTTTTTCGTTCCGTCCGTTCATATTTCTGTCTATTTGCCAATTCTTCTGGACATATTTAAATAAGATTATGTTTAAAATTCAAATAATTTAAAACATAATTCTCAAATCTAATCATTTTTAATCCAAATCCTTCGGCCATACTTTTAAGATCCACGGTATGACTTTAAACATATCCATCTCACATTGATTCATTACAGGTGTTTCTGTTGTCCAAAAATACAATAATTCCTAGGGATGTAACAATAATCAAAATATTGTGATATCGTATCATCAAAAGTCTCACAATAATATCGTGGACCTTCACAATATATCGAATTAAAAGTTCTTTGCTTAAATGTATGGTTTTATAGTAGAAACAGCTTCTGAACTACATATCCCATTATTCATTTCAGTGCAAACAACATGAAGATGTATGTTTTTACTTGAATTCTTGGGATTATGACGGAAATAATTCACATCAAAATCTTGTCAGGGTATTTTAAAATCAAAAAACTGTTCAATCTACAATTATATTAGCCTCTCCAAAATATCGCAATAAATATCGTACCGTGAGATGCATATCGCGATAATATCGTACAGAGAGATTTGGATATCGTTACATCCCTAATAATTCCTTCTGTGAATTTGGTTACACCACAGATCTAACCTGTAATGTATCTCCCTTTAGATAAACAGGTCAATCTCTACCGTGGATCAGACAAAGCAATAACACCTACATGAAGACAAGCAAGTGACAGACCCTCCTCCAGAAAAGTAGCACAATGCACCTTTAAAGTAACACAAACAAAAAGAGAAAGCTGTGATATAGATATGTGGTAGTTGGATGAATTGTGCCAGTCTGTAAATGGGCTCTTGTTTCCTTGTTGTTGTGACTCGGTGAGCTGCGGTGTTAAAGCAGTAATTGCACTCCAGGCTCTCAAAGTGAACTGGCCCGGTCCCTAATGACTCTTGAAGAGGTTAGTTTGAGCTGTGAACCTGACAGACTTCGATTTAATATGAACGCCAGGTGAATTCACAGGAGCACCCCAGAGACGGAGGAAGGTGGAGAAAGAGAGGGAGAGACAGAATGAGACGAAGAGAGAGTGGAGGGGGAACAGAGAGAGCAAGGCAGTTAGGAAAGAGAATGGGAGGGAATGACAAGGAAAGGAAGAGGAAAGAAGAGAGGGAATATGAGAGAGAGAGTGAGGAGGGAGAGAGGGAAAATGGAAGAACAAGAGAGATGGAAAGATAAAAAGGTGAGGGGGAAGCGAGAAACGGAGAGACAGAAAAAG